ACATAGGGGAAATGGATGTAATGTCGGCTTAAATGCCCCTAACTTGGGCTCATACATAAATTCAGTATTCGACTAAATTTTCAATAGCAACCAAAAATATCCATTAATACCAGATTTTTAGCGATGAGCCCAATCTTAGATCGAAAGGCCAACATTAGAGCCATTTTCCCTACAAAAAATTCTATAATCCTGCTTTACACATTCTGCACTCAAAATAGCTCACCCCTTACAGGATTTCCTTCCGAATTATATGAATGTGGCGGGGCAGAAAGTATCGTTTGTGCAGAATATGTAAAAAAGGAGGGACTTCGAATGTTAATCTAAATGCATATATAGAAGTACCAGACATGTTTTGTAGTGTCAGGTACTCTATTTTGTAATCTATGAAAGGGAAATCACAAATTGGGTGTCATAAAAAAAAAACATGTTGAGAGATTGAGCTCGTGAGAGCATAATTTTCTCTTACCAATTTGAATTTTTTGGCTTTCTGGGGATTTGTAGTAATAGTAGTAAAGCAGGTAAAACTGTATGGGAAAAAATCATTATTATTGAACAATAATTTCCGGGAAAAAATGAATGTCCCTGACTAATTATTTAGGTTTTCGTTCACTTTTTTTACCTGAATATGCACCTAAAACGAATTATTCCCACTTCTCTCAAATTCTATATGTGGATTTTTTATCACTTCCTATAAGCGGAACACCACGGTCTGTGGAAAATGGCCGGACTATATGATTAATCTCACCAATACATTCGGGCTTACAATTCCACACCTTTTATAGACCAGGTTGAGGCTTGATAGCTAGCTGCTTGCGAGAACTGATGACCTTGACAAATGTCCAAATAATATCCTGTAACAAATTTATTATGGTCCTGAAAAGGACCGTTTTGTCGTGATGGTTGAGTAATGCTGAGCTGAGCACGACGAGCTACTGATTCCGATCCTAGCCTAGCGGTGGGACTTCTTCCTCCTTCTCTATGGTTCGCCATGTGAGCTCTGCAGCTGGTTGCCTTTCGTTGTTACTGGAGAACAATTTTCAACGCCAAACGCCGAAAACACTGCTACTGCTGCTGCTGCTACTGCTGCTGCTGCTGCTACTGCTACTAATTTTGAAGACCGTTCGGTGAGACAGGATCGAATTCGATTTTTAAATCTGTGTTAGGGAATGCGTTGTTTGCAGGCAATCGGTGATAATTTTGATCACCATTGCAACAGTTGGACATTTGTGTAATTTTTAATAGTAACCTATTGAAAATTAATAAAGTGTTCATTTTAGCAGATTGGTAGATAAATTTCTAATCGTTTGGCTTGTTTAGAATTAAAATCCATCTGCTATTGACAGAGTTATATGTGGTCAAAACCTGACCTGTTTTCGTAATGCGGTCGATTTTGGTTTTTTGAAATTGCACCCCCAATATGTTGCCGAAAGACGTAATCCTACGTCAAAAACAACAGAATGCCGCTGGTACAAACAACCATCATCAAAAGAGCAAATAAGAAATCCAAAATCACTCTAATTATATTTCTTTATTCGTCACACTAAGGACCACCACAAATTCAGCAATCTTCAGATAAGGTAACCCGCATTATACCATCCTTCCACTTGCAGAAACAGCTTCGCCAGCATGACCGCACTCTGCGGAAAATCAACCTGCTCAGTTATAAGCGAACATCGTCATTCAACGTGACATATGTTTTGCATGTATTCGATTTATGGAATTATGGATCGGGCACAAATTCACACTAGTTAGTTGAAATTTGGGCACTTCGCCACTTGCATTCATCCTCCCAAGGCAGCACAAAGATTGATACACTTTTATTATTGCTGAATGAATTTTAAACGTCTGGAACTGAATCCCGAAACCGATACAGGATTGGTGTTCTGCAAATCATAAATGGGGTCGATGAAAATCTATGGAAGCTTCAGATGAAAATGTTAACTTATCATTTTTGTTACCTTTTCTATGATGAAACGGAACGTTCACGAGAGCGCGTTTCTTTGATAATTGAAAAAAATTTGCATGCAGTGGCTTAGTTTTTCAGCTTCCAGGAGTTAACTCGGTGTGCATAATAGACAGTGCACGAACAAAAACTTGGTCTTACTCCATCGTCAACGTACCCAATACCTCCTTAAACCCATTATTCACGATTTGGGTGATATTAATGTCGTTTCACGAACGATTTGAGAAGATGGATCAAGTGATGAAGAGGGCCTTGAAGTTTCAATTCATTTAGTTCCAGTGGACCAAACTGCCCAGTTCACGTCTTGAGAGACGATGATCCTTTGTGCAAATTTTTCAACTCCGCAACCAGCACAGAAACTGCTTGATTTGAAGCAGTATCAGCTCTGTCCCTTTCCTCTGCATATATCAGAACCCTAGCCTTTACCACTTCAAACTAGGCAACAACGAATAGAAGATTAGGAATCACTTAGATCAAGACTAACTAACTAGTTTTTTTCATGTTTCATCATCCTCGGTCCAGGCAACCCGAGGATTTATCACTATCATGGTCTATATATAAAAAATAAAATTACATTTTATCACTATTAACAAGGCATAAAAAATAACAAAGACCAAGATGTGTTTCTTTGATTACTGAAAAATCCTGTTCCCCTAGTTTGAAGTAGTCAGGACTAGGAATCGGTGGTAGATCTTAACGTACCGCGAAAAGGTGATCTACCCACGTAACGGGAAAAGGTTAGGTGATCCTGGCGGTCGCATAATACGAGAGCCGTCCATCGTAGAAAACTGAAAATGTTAATACGCGATATCATTGTGCTATAAGTCGTAGTATGACAATTATGTTTACCTGATAATTAAAACAACATACACTTTAAAAAGTTCCATCAAACATTTTTTTCTTAGCTTCTGCACTAGCACTAGCACTTAGCACTAGCATTAGGTCCTCCGGTGAAAGCGATGAAGGGTATTTTGACCTGTTTCTACCTGTTCAAATATTATTCAAATTTATGTACAAGATGTGGCAAAAATATGTACAAGCGCATTATTATAACTTTGAGTAAATGTAAAACCTCTTCTTTGACAAAATTCATAACAACAGTGGCACCTAGAGCCAAACGTGTGAAAATGCTTCGTTACCCTGTAAATTAAAGCGATTTTCTTCATACAAGCTTCAAACCGTTTCATACATTTTGCTGGTCAAGCTGAGTCGTTTCATATGACACTAGACCCTCCAGGCCATATATAGAGAAAAAAATTATGTTTGTGATATGATAGCCTTTCGGTATACCTCGGTATACGAAAAGGCAAAACATCGCCAACGATGGTACGTTTGTCACAATCATTGGAATGTGAATTCACAATGACATTTTTATGGAAGCTATTTCCAGCATTTTGATTAACTGTTCAAACATCCTTTGACTGAAAAGCAGAGCGTTACTCTAACAAGGCCTTATACAACTTATAACACTAGGGTAAGTGTCCCAATAGTGGAGGAACTAACTTGGTTTATTTATAGACAGTGAGATTAGCATACCTTCTTGCATGTCAGCAATCCAACTTGATGGTTTTCTTCTGGAAAAAATGCTCATTTTACTGTTGAACCAATCATTTGATTGATAATGTTTAATGTCACGCCACCACCTTGTCAGACCGTGACAATAAGCGAAGACAATATATCAAGAAGACTGGCAACTTTACCTGAATCGAAGCGACAGACACAGTAGCGATGCGCTCGAGAAATGGTAGAAGCAACGCATAGAAAAATGAGCAAATACGCAAACCTCTATTCTGAGGATGGAAACTTTGCAATCCAATTCGTTTGGAGCATTTACCTTTGAGCGGCAGATTACGCGATTCTGACTATCTCATACCGAGCGTATGATAAAATGGAAGAGTTGCCAGTCTTCTTGATATGTTGTCTTCGCAATAAGCCTACACCTTTCAATACTAAACATTGTACTTGAAAGATGTTAGCATAAATGTTAACTGCACCATGGTCACAGACACACTATTTATTGAACCCCAACCTATAGGTATACAACCACAACTATTTCTCTTTTCGAAATTTTACGGAAATCTTTTGATTATTATGGAATTGTAACAAATGTGTTAAATCGTGTTCGAAGAGTATAAGTTATTGATCAAAAATACATGTTACCTCATTATCTTGAAAATCATCGTTAATTCCAATACCGCAACTGTAGGAGCACCCACAGCTATAGGAGCGTTTACCTTCCTACGTTAAGGAACGTACGAAAACTTTAAATCAGTTAATAATTTATTGCAAAAGGAACCCCAAACTGGTTTATTTTCCAAAAAAAAATGTGTTCTCGACTGCAAATGTTCATCCCACAGTAACGAGACCAAGATCGTGAATCTTTCTTACGTAACGGCAATGCTTCACTGTCCCATAAAACTTTTCGGCAAAATTCGCCTTTGCTTTCATTACGATTGTGCTGAACGGAGAACCGCAACGAAAAATAAAATCATCCATGCAAAACCCACTGCCTTGGTGGGACAGCAGCCACAACAGTAGCCAGCCTGAGCGTGATAGAGCTTGAATTTATGTTGTTAGCTATTATCCATAAAACATGTAATCCATTAACTTTTTTGTTCCGATGAACCTTTTTTGCGCCGGGTCGCTTAGCCTTCGATGTGTATGCTAACCACTTTCCCACTTATCTACGGTTAGCTAGAGCATCACCCATTCACTGTGTTTTCCGCGGGCTGTATTTAAATAGTTTTGCTCCCACGTCGATCTCCATGACAAACGATATGATTTCACTAAATCTAGTTCCCCAGTACAATCAAGATATGGGATAGCGATAAACAACTTCACCCGAGGGCGAGCAGACTGTGCTTATGGTTGGGGAGTTCTGGAATCGATACTCTAGTTTTATTTTTATTATCAGTGTTAACAGCCATTTTTGGAACGGCCATAAGAGGGAAGAGCATTTCTCAATAAATTTATCTTCCACATATGTGCTATCCTTACAAAGCATCATTCAGTACAAATTTTCTCCTCGTTTTGACAGGACACCATCTTGAGAGCGGTACGAGCATCCAAATCTCAGCAAGTGACGAATGTTCAGAGTAATGCAAAACCCTACAAATGGACGTATGCTTCAGCATTTCTCTATTCACTGACGCTGATCACCACTATCGGTAAGTTTGCCATTTCCATATCTATTTCCTATTTGTAGAAGAGCCTGGAAGATAAATCGACAAATTGAATCATGGGACGCTACCATACATGATGGCCAATTGGGAGGCAGACGTCTAGCTTTTACTGTTTAAATATTTGTCTCTGTCAATACAATTTGGTAGAATTGGATACACAAGAGCTATTTGCCGCTGACAACTTGGGCAAGTGCTGACGTGACTCTTTATGCCTAAGTATACGTATACGTAAGCAATTCCAAAGCTTCAATATGGGTGAATCCATTAATCAGGCATGTGACAATTTCGAAAATGATTTTACGAATCATCCAAAGCGCTAGTTCAAGCATAAGTTCCAAGGATCGGATTCAAGTAAGAAACTGAAATTCGGAGTTTTTGTACAATTACAAATTTAAAAATCAAACTGAAAAAAAAACATGAAGAAATATTCCATATCCAAGCTTATACCGGTAAGGCTTACGGGCGGTTCCTTATTATCCCGTGCACAACTCTTTTGAAATCTGTAGTTTCATCAAACGACCTTTTGCCCAAAACTCATTATTACAAGGTGCGAATCATGCAGCATTTCCTTTATATTATAACAGTAACAAACGAATAACGCTATATTTTCACTCCATAAAAAGAGCTACAAAACTCGATGTACCTACCTCTATTTGGAAAAATGAGTACCACATGTCGAGAGCTCTACCCATTCGCTTCTGTGGCTGAGTAGCATTAACAAGAAACTTTATACGAGTTTGTTGCTGAGAGAAAGGAAGAAAAAATGCTGTCTGTTCAAGAGAGACACGAGCCCGGCTAATCCACAACCCATGACGTGTATAAGCAAAACTTTTATTTCAAGCTTCACACTACAGATCCGTTTGCTCAAGCTCGTCATCGCAAGGATAGACGATGGAGAAAAATAAGGGAAAGAAGCTTCAGGAAAGAAAACAAGTACAGGAACGCGCTGCAGCATTTCTAATGAAATGGAAAAGTGAGAAAATAAGTTCCCACCGTCTTATAAAAGCAGCTTATCTTTAGTTTTCCTACACGACACACAACAAGTAGGATGATGGTCGAGACTCGATCTTAACACTCAACATCCCGGATGTCATGTCACGATGATAGCACCTACGCTACATTTTCCAAGAGTCACTCTACATGGACAGGGATTCTACCCGTAGGCGCCAAGATATGTGGTATCTCCAGCCATCATCATTCCGGCATACGGGGATGTACTATGCCACATCTTACTTAGTAGAAGCTCATCGCGTGCATTTGCACGTTTTGCTACGGAAAATAAATTAATTATGTAAGGCCAACATGGTGGGCTTGGTTGCGCAAAGTAATCTTTTTCACTAACGGAACCGTGTTTGACTTGTTTGTCTTATTTGGACGTCTATGGAATAGGCAGTACCAGGGCAGCACTTTCTTACATTCCAATGAAACATTGTGGGTATAAAGACTTTGCTTAGTTGATCAAATTTGCATACTTGATATTTTGGGAAAAAAAATGTAGGCTACCATTTTAAAAGTTCCTTTTTTTGTAAAAAAAAAAATAAACTGATAACAACTTAAAAAGAGGAAAAATATTTAAAAAAAAATACAAATTGCATTCTACCACTAGAAACAAAAACTATGATTTCCTCTATAAAGACAATCCAACCCACATGGTTGCAAAGTCATTTCCCAAGTAACAATTCTGGTTTTATTAGGGTTCTGAAGACATTGATTTAGACTTGTAGAATGCTATAAAACCTCAATAAAACTTGAAATGTTGCTTGGGTTGAAAACCACGGCTTCGTGAAGTTTTATAGATGTTGCATAAAACTAATAGAGGACGAGCCCGGCGTATATCTGGGGCTGAGATTTGAACTCGTGAATGACATAGTGTGTTGAAGTGACTGTTTGTTCTCAACCAGTTTCCAAATTTATTTTATAGATTCGCACCGAACCCACAATTCTGGTACTACAAATGAGAGCTTTACACATGTAATAGTACTGGAAATAAGTGGGATAAAAATTAATTACGTTAGTAGTAGTAGCAAATTAGGTTTAGAGTTAACTGAATTATTAGTAATAAATTATTCCAAATCTAGCTATCCAATAAACTAGACCTAAAGTGTATCCCAAGTTAATAGTGAATAAATCCAAATCCAAGGTTGCAAAGGGTTTCCTTTAAAAAGAAGAAGTGACTCCTAGTGGTGGTTAGGCGAAAACCCAAAAGTTCTGTACAAGAATCAACTGGAGTGTTAGCCGATGCTCACACCCCCGCTCAGCATAGTGATAGTGCACATTGGATTTCCCCGCCGGTTAAATTTTTAACGGAAATCACGAACCTGCTCCAACAGTGACCTTATACAAAAAAAAACAATCTAATCATGTTCAATGCAGATTATTTCTGTAAAGTGTTCAATAAGACTAAGGAAATCAAAACCAGAGAAATTTAAATAAAAACATATCCTAGGTCTTCGACGTATAAGGTATAATACGATAAATTAAATGGGTTTTAAGTGCACTACTTCTTTTGGAATAGTGACCAGGAATTCCTCCACGTGTGAAAGATTAGCTGTTCCCTCTTATATTTTAAACATTTTCTTACTCGAAATCTATACATACGCAGATATATCAATGAATTCAGTAAAATGTTACTGAAATTTCAACAACTTTAACCCTCATTTTTTCACTGCGTCCTAGCAAGAAGTACGGTCGACTTGTTTCGCGCTCCGTTGTTTTGGAAGTTTTCTCGGTATTCGCTTGATATAAATTATCAGTTTTTTCTCACTAAGTGACTCCTGGCATAGTTCCCGGTAAATTGATCGAAAAGTGAGTTTTTTTTTTGTAGTAGAAAGTGTCATTTTCGGAACGATTAATCCTTGCTATTGGTAATTCGCGAACCAATTTGGGCATCATCGTTGCGTGGTCACGCATACGCGCTTACGCATACCCGCGCACGTATCATCATCATCGAGTGTGAGCACCCGTTTCTACATCTACATCGTTCATCAATCATCGTGCGCCTGTGTGCGCTGAGTACCGAGCCTCGATCAAGTGCACCACAACGAAGGTCATCCACGCAGCGCGTCTCTTCCAGCCATCTGTATAAACGCCTACACATATAACGCTCGGTGGTAGAAGTATAGAATTATCAGATAAGTTTTTGTTTTTTTTTGTTTCTTTTCCTCCTCCATTAGTTAAATTTTCATTTTGTATTTCTGTGTTTGTAGTGTTTTCTGTGTATTGTGTCTGTGCGTTCAGTGGGAGAGCGTTTTGCGCTCCCACTAGTTGAACAAAATGGATGTTTTGTCAGAAGACGACATGGATGACCATTCATCTCAGAATAATGATGATGTCATCCCTGGTTCGTCGTCTCAGTCTGTCAATGGGCAGGATGAGAAAAGCACCAGATTGCGGGCCTACCCGAATGACTCGACTGGCCCATGGGTTGTCTATTTTCAGCCCAAAAACAAACCCTTGAATGTTGTTCAGATATCTGATGATCTGACAAAGCGATTCTCTGCCGTGACCGAAATAACGAAGGTTAGGCACAACAAACTTCGTGTGACCGTCGCTAACCTGAAACAGGCCAATGAAATTGCTGTTTCCCATTTTTTCACACTGGAATATAGGGTGTACATTCCAGCTTCTGATGTGCAGATCGAAGGCGTGGTCACTGAGGCGAGCCTGAACCCCGAGATACTGGAGAAGCAAGCGGTTGGCCGATTCAAGAACCCCTTGCTTCCTCCGGTAAAGATACTGGCCGTTCATAGAATGAAGTCAGTATCGCTCAGCGAGGGTAAAAAGAGTTTTACCCCCACAGACTCGTTTCGGGTGACCTTTTCTGGATCTGCCCTTCCTCAATACATCGAGCTGGGAAAACTTCGTCTTCCTGTGCGGTTGTTTGTACCTCGGGTCATGAACTGCCAGAATTGTAAGCGGTTGGGACATACGGCCTCCCACTGCGGCAACAAGGCACGCTGCTCCACATGCGGGGAGAAGCATGAGGATGGCGCCTGCGCAGCTACTGCACCAAAATGCGTGTACTGCAATGGAACTCCTCCTCATGCTCTCTCGTCGTGCCCGGCGTACAAACAGCTCGGGGACAAAATGAAACGCTCCCTTAAGGAACGTTCCAGGCGGTCTTTTGCAGAAATGCTTAAGACAGCCAAGCCATCGACCAACGAAACAAATCCCTTCGCTCTTTTGTCAGATGACGAGTCTGGCTCTGACTTGGCTGAGGAGGGAGTTTCTTTCAGTTTTCCGGAAGGTTCTGCCCGGAAACGAAAACGCATCCGTTCGCGGAAAGTTGCAGATCAAGAACCCCAAATCAGCTTGCCCAAATCAAGGAGTGGTGGAAAAAAGGAGACTTCTACTCCTCCTGGATTCCGCAGAACTGATTATACCCAGGATTTTCCACCTCTTCCGGGGACATCCAAAACCCCTGATGCCCCAATTTTAAGAACAGAAACCCCTTCTTCATCTGGGCTGTTCTCATTTGATGACATTGTGGACGGTATTCTCAAATACCTCAACATTTCTGATCCTCTGAAAAGCATTGTCCTCACATTGCTTCCGACTGTGAAATCCTTCTTGAAGCAATTGACTTCAAAATGGCCCCTTCTTGCAGCTATCATCTCCTTCGATGGATAATTTTCCAAACGAGGTCGGGGATTTGATCACTGTTCTACAGTGGAATTGTCGAAGTCTTATTCCGAAATTAGATTCGTTCAAGTATTTAGTCCATAACAATAATTGCGATGCATTTGCCCTCTGTGAAACATGGCTCTCTTCAGAAATTGATCTCCCTTTTTTTGATTTTAACATTATTCGATTGGATCGTGAGGATTCACGTGGAGGAGGGGTACTTTTGGGGATCAAAAAGTGCCATTCCTTCTATAGAGTGAATCTTCCCGAATTCCCCGGTATTGAAGTTGTCGCATGTCAGGCTACCATTAAAGGTAAGAGCCTTTGTATTGCTTCTGTATATATTGCTCCTAGAGTCTCTG